TATATATATATATATATATAAAGAAATAATGCGCTTCGAAGACTAATATGCTTTCTCCCAGCAAAAACGCCACGTTCGGATCACGTGGTTAGCACGTTGCTATCACATTATAACCTCAAAGCAACGTGCTAGCCACGTGATCCAAACGTGACGTGTCTGCTGGGTTTCCTGCTTTATGTAGGCGAGTTTCTGAGGTCCTTTGAAAGTCGCCCTCTTACAGTGAGTGTGAGTGCACGATCATGACAGCTGCATGCTGACTGCAGAAATGTAGCTTTTCAGTTGCCAAAGAATTCAGGGTGAATCTTAGCAAATTTTATAGAATAGCATGCATACCGTTATTATGGTATAAGGATAAACAGTGTAAAGGGAGCTCGCCATAATCCTTACCACGTGTACACTGCAAGCAGTAAGGCAGGTGCAGTTATCGCTGCCTGGAGATAGCGCCAGTGTCGGAGGGCGTAGGCAATACCAGAAGCCCCGCAGCTTCCAGCGGCATAGAAAAAATGCATGATGATCCCAGCGAACATTCTCTTTTTGGGCCCTACGACTTCCATTCCTGGAACAAAAGATGGGAATGTAAATACTCACCATTAAGATATTTTGCATGATAAGTGAGAAGAACAGACCATTCCCAAAAACAAAACACGTGGGTTACTTAATTTTTCATTTTTTTCATTTTTCAAAATTTGCATCAAAAGAACACCACGATTATCAAATTATCAAGAGTGAGCAGATTTGAGCACTGTCTGTGGGGAAACGAAGAAACAAAAAAGAAAGTAAAGGCATGTTAAAGATACCATCTATAAAACCTCAGGCATTTTGCTTCGAAATATGACAGTCCGTTAGTGCAAACCACATGACGTCACTTGCAAACTATATGACGTCACTTACAATCCATATGACGTCACTAGTAAGCCACATCTATGCGTTTTGTCTCCCTAGCTATCAGCTAGAACTTACCAAATAAGAACGACGTTATGTATGCCCCGCTGGAGGATGCTCCGATAAGAAATCTAAACAGGATCGCTGTAACTGCATTTGGCGAAAATGTTGAAGCGAGCCCAGAAGCGCTGAGAAACAGTAAGGCACAGCCCAAAGCGGTGCGACGTCCTAGCCTACAATAAATCCAACGCTTGCAAAATGTAGTTAGGTGTTTGTTGCATTGAAAGCAATGCTTAGAATGGGTGGAATTCTCTAGGTGTCGTATATGAGCCAGATACCTCCAATGGTTTTATTGAAGCCATCCATTTGATGTGATGTAAGCCATTTAATGACCAGATATACCTCATATGTTATCATATCTTATTCATCGTCTTCATATCTTATTTCAATCTGTTGTCTTTTTCATTTCAGTCTTTAAAACGTTAAAAGAACTATGAAATCAGTGTTAATCCACTCCTAAGGGAGCATTCAGATTCTGACATCGTACCAGCTGATTCGATACAACTTAACCAAGCGCACACGTAAATGTATTACCCCCTAGCTGCTGAAGGGGTCGTGACAGAAAATAAAGGCGATTATATTGACTGCACTTTAGCACGGCTTCCTGCAGAGATGGATCGACCAAGCTGGTACGATATCTGAATCTGCTCCCCTTGTTCTAACAATCCAGAAAAAACAAAATGAGTATAATAGCAATGTCCCAAATATTTATAGCAAGGTTGGGATCGACCTTTGCTGAATTTGTTTAAAAATCGCAAATCGCTTCTCAATAGACTAGATTTTCCCCATGTCCCACACATAAAGGTAATAACAAGGTTAATAACTTCACTAATTTACGCAGGAGAAAACGAAAAACCCATTCTTTAAAGTGTCTGTTTTTTAACGCTGTACCTACCTATCTGATAAAAGACCTATCCCAACATTGCCGACCGCCATGCCGACCAGAAATATTACTGCCATTAGAGTCACCAGGCTAGCTTCGTCGCAGACAAGATTGAACTGAAATAAACAGCCGTATTTTAAAAAGGAAAATGCGTATGGAAGTATGAAAAGATTGCTGGGAATTGAATCTGAGAGTGCAGTATTCTAGTCACGAGAAAACGTAAGTGTACATGCATGCGCCAGTGCGCGCAACAGAGAGAGAGAGAGAGAGAGAGAGAACAAAACGAAAAAAAAAACAGATGATAGAAATTAACAGCTGAAACTGATTAGTTGAACTTAACCGAAAATATGTTCAATATTAAACGATTCACCCAGTCAATATACATCAGACTAAATTTTCAGTTGACCTAACTGCATCGAAATCAGTTGGCCTTTTAACCAATCCAAACGGTTAACATTTCGGACACACTGCATAATAGTTAAATACCCGAGTGACGAGGTCGTTTCCCGCTAGGCACGCTTGTAATTATAAATAAACACTATTCAACAAGTTTGTACATGTAGAATTTAATTACAGATTTTCGTTATTCCAGTCAAATGACCTCAGAACACTTATTCAATAACCGATCCACACGGTTACCATGTTGACCAATCGACTGGTTGATCGAAAAACGAACCGTTGTTTGTTACTGATTTCAAGTCAACCGATTGTATCGGTAGGGTCAATGACCGATTTGTTTATTAAAGTGTAGGTACACACCTCGCTGGCATAAGTTTCCTCCATAACGCTGCGATCAAATTCCCACTCATGACACTTCTCTCTGCTCCCATTAACAACGCTTTCACAAGCAGAAGACTGATTGCGGTGCTCGTCACTGAAGAAGTGCTGAATCTGGCTCGTCTGGTTACCGTCCATGTCATTTTGGGGGGAAATGCACCTGCAATTTATGTACACCATGGGTTAGAAACATCCATTAAATTGCTACATGATATCTTGTTGGTCAGAATAATTGAAATAGCTTATATCATAGCATTACATATATAATTTGTATATATGCATAACTGGAATCAGCCGTCAACAGCTACAGTAACTATGGGAGTGAATGTTGGGTGGGAGTTTTTTTTTTTTTTTTTTTTTTGGGGGGGGGGGGGGCAGGCGTGATAAGAAATAAAAATTCTGATTCCATGCTCGATTTGTATGCCTGTGAATTTACAACACTGGTCAAAAAAGTTGTCCCACTCCCAATGCCATGTGGTTTTGTTACAACAAATGATCACTCCAAAGGTGTCATAAGTGCTTTTTATACCAGACACCATATCTAACATGATTTATGGTTCAGAAAATAGAAAATAGTGGTGACGATATCCGTATGTTATTTGTTCAAATCCTCAAATCCCTCAAATCCAATGTTTCACTGTGATTTCCAAATGTGTGAAGACATTTTAAAAAACGCCGGAGAATGGCACCAATTTACACACAATTATCATTAGAGTGTTCTAGTTCAAGGTCACGCGTCTAATCGCGAGTGTGCCTACCGCGTACAGCAATTTACTCCTGTAGGCGGCGCGCCAAGCCCTCAACAAGGGTAGCAATTCTGTTTTGTGGGATATTGTCCCAGTCTTCCTAAAGAGCTTGCAGGAATTGGGCCAGATTTTAGGGGGTTGGTTTTCCTCTGCATTGCAGACTCCAATTCATGCCACAGGTACTCAGTAGGGTTAATATCGGGGCTAAAATGTAGTGGTTCTTTCCTCGGAACATTATGTTTCTACAACAAATCACAAGCCAAACGAGAACTGTGAGTAAATGTGTTGTCATGATAAAGCCTGGAGTTAACCCTGAAGTCAGCTCCTAATGTTAATTGTGTGTAAATTTGGTGACATTTGGTAGTATCTTTTCATTTTAATGGACATTATTTTATCTTTTTGGAAATCACAGTGAAATATCGGATTTGAGGGGCTACATGTTATAAATTTGAATAAACGGTATATATCGGGATATTTTCACCGTTATTTTGTATTTTCTGAACCATTAATTATGTTAGATATGATGTCTAAAATATAAACGAGGCTAGTTGGCCCCAGGGTCGTGGCAAGTTGACACCCTATACAAAAATTAAGTAAGTATCCCATGTAAATGCATTGAACTACATATTTATACATTTTTAATTTATAAAATTGATTTTTGAGAGTCTTTGATGAATAAATAGTTCAAATGAGGCAGATTTATTGAGGTTTCCGTGTTACGTCACGTTGTATGTGTTGCAAGATCCAAAATATTTATCCAAAATAATAAAATTTGTTTTTATTACGAATAAATTAATAATGGTATAAAACAGGTTTTTAATGAATGAAAACGAATAATACATTTTCGTTTTAAATGAAACTAACAAATTCAGTTTAAAACTGGTAATGATTAAATAAAGCCACTGAGTTTGTTTCGACAATGGTCTGTAGCTCTGTTACAAGGATGGTGGTCAATATGTTGGTCCATCTTGCCCCGAGTCAAGGGTGCCAACTTGCCCCGGGTGCACATTTTTAATTTTAAAGGATTGTAGCCATTTATGGTGCTAGAATGAACAACGATGATACATTTCTGTGAAATTTGAAACAATGAGCTTCAGTATGATGTCCTATACTTATACTTTATTCGATAAAAAGCTTATGAAAAAAAGTTTTTTAAAAAAGTCTCTTTAATAAAGTTACTTTAAGATGCTAAATTATTTCATTTGGACTCACTGCCTAAATAAAACTTCTTAATGACCGATGCTTTCTTAGCACTATTGGATACGGTCACTTTACAAAAAGATATCATCAATTATTTTACCCCATAGTTACTTTTTTCATTAATTGATTGGGGGGGGGGGCAACTTACCCCGGGGTCCAACTAGCCCCGGTCTCCCCTAATTATTGTCATGTTAATGTGTCTAAAGCATAATGTTAAAGCTTTGAAGAACACGTTTTTGTTTTCTCATCCTCAGACTGCAGGCCTTATAAACGGATTAGGGGTTTACTAACACTACCCGTAGATATTTTAGCACTAACGCCCATATTAGCCATTAAACCCACGGATTAACCAACACACCGTGCAATTATTTAACACCAACAAAGTAATACCTAGCACTAACATGCATCCGCTCTGGTAGTGCTGATTAATTTGTGGGTTATGTGGTTAATATGGGTGTTTGTGCTAAAAGATCTGCGGAATGTTTTAGTAAACGCCTAATCCGTTTATAAGGCTTGGGACTGGCCAAACAAGAACTTTTTCGTTCCTCTCACAATAAAGCCCCTCACCCCCACCTACCCCCACCCCGTCCAAACCCACCTTGGTCATCAACTCACCTGTGTTCCGGCGTGTACCCCACGAATGGCACAGATGCATACTGCAAGGAAGCAAGGGTACTGCATAGACAAAACAGGGGGAACACACGAAGCTGAAACCTTCCAAAATCACCCATCTGTTCAAATATGTTGTCCAGTTGAGTTTGCTTTTCCGCCGTGGCATCGCTTCTTGCAGTGGAAGGTTTTTGCTTTTTCAATTTCTCCATGGTCTTTCAAGATATGTCGGAGTATACTTTTATCGATCGCAGTTTAAAATGGAAGAACGAATAATTTGCCGCAAGCGATGTGAGAAAACTCGGACAGCTTCCAGACAGCAAGGCAGTCAGCAAATGCCACTTGTACCGCAGATCCTTGGGATTTTAGCCAATCCTACCCTTGGTGTTTTTTCCTATCTCACAAAAATTGACCAATTGGCCAATCGCTCTTCGGTAGGCCAAACTTTAAACCAATCAACGCGCAGTATTTTTCGCACGCCTTGGGCTTGCTTCACGAAAATCTTAAGACTGCTGAGTGTTAATTTTATTACGATGGCAGGTTGAATTCCTATAGTGAGCAAAAATCGGCGATCCATGTAGGCCACTCCTGCACCCGTCTGAATCATTATGTAGGAGTCCATGTACCTCCCTACCCAGGTTCTTCTAATATTTTACAGTTCCAACTCTTAAGTCCTCTTTATTAGGTCCAAACATTCAGCATTTATACACATTATCTACAGGGAATCTACCTGCATGCCACAGTGGCAGCAACTCATTTAAATACTTATTGCAATGCAAAAGATAACAAGTGAGAGTTTCTACTTATCAGGTATACCTATACAGAGGATGATAAACATTCATTCAAGACTGAAGCAAGGTGAATGATAATATGCTGACTGAATATATAAGCATAATATGCAAATGAGTGAGTTCACCACATGCATTTAGTATGAATATTTATCATCCTCTGTCTTTCACCATTACTTTGTACAGGTGACATTCGTCCCCAATACTCCGACTAACCTTAACCTGTACTAATCATATGGGATTAGCATATGGAGTACCATTTCTGTCAAACCGGCTCGTTAGATATTCTTGTGAAACGCACTTTAGTCAGGATGGTAGTCCCAGAACTGACTAAGACTTTCTCTGTAACAGGATTCAGGCCTTACCACCATGATGTTCGGTAAGGCAAACGATAGCACTGACCGTCGCGTGGGCGTTTATTAGCGGTGTGAACGAACTAAAAAAAGAACTTTTGACGAAAAAATGATAAATGGTGGCAGTGGGTACCCTTTACGCTTCCTTAATTTTTTTCGGCATGGATGTCGTGATCTATTTATTTATTTATTTATTTTTTTATTTATTTGTTGTTGGGGAGCTACAAGGTGTGACAGTGCAAAGGCCTACTACACAAAACAGTCTTGTCACGCTGAGCTGTTTGTATTTGGGTACATCGTCTTCCGCTGGCTTATTTTTCGGTTGTTTGTATCAGTTAGATAACTGACGGGCTTCCAACTCAGCTGCATTCTTTGTCTTCGAAGCATGACTTCATCAGTTTCCAAAGTGTTTTTGATAAGATCAATTTTACTACCAGTTCAAACTGGTCCGGAGGAGTTTCGTCTAGCCTGAACCGCATTGGTAACAATATCGTAAGTAAATGCACCTGGATATTTTGTGAGTGTTCTGCAAGATCTTATATTGCTGAGGCAGCTAGCTACAGTATATCAACAGAACTCATTTTGAACGCTAATTAAAAAAAAAAATCATATGATAGGCCTACCCTTTGGAAATATTATAAGGGCAACTTCATTGTCTTTTCAAATAAATTCAACTACTGATATTGATCATTTTTCAATTGTATAATAAGAATAATACTAATAATAATGATGATGATCATTATAATCATGATGTTGATGGGGATGTAGACAAATGCATGTAGGCATATATAACGGGAATCTTCATACTGTTCCAAAAAGGCACGCATCAGAAATATAAGAAAACATTTGTTTCGCCAATCGTCGACTAGAGCTTATTTTTGTCTTATAAGAAAAAACACAGGCCCAAGCAGTCGAAATGCACGGAATGACACCGATACACTCGTCCCATTTGGGATCATTTGGGTGCGACGGAGAAATCGCTTTATTCAGTTCGACTATGTTGCAACAACGACTCAGATCAGTTCCGGGTTGCCTAACATCTGGAAAACAGCAGCAACAACACCAACAGCAAACAAACAAAATAAA